CCTAAACAGTGGCCAGTTTCTTGTGAAAGGCAATCCTTTAAAGGTCCCCTATTACACTGTTTTTCATTACTTTATTATAGCTTTCAGATATATTCAAAACATGTCTCTGAAGTGTTTGGCTCCAAACACCAAACACCCATTGCAGCATCCCATAATCCCCTCTGTTTCAGCCCTGTTTCCAAAGTGCTGATTCTCTGTCTGTTACTTTAGATGAAAATAAGGAGCCCCTCCCCACGCCCCTCTGAGAGATATTTGGTTACAAAGAACTCAAAGGTGCTCTAGGAGGGGATTCAGGTGATAAGGTGGGGGGGGGGGGGTTACCTTGGTTGCTGATTGGCTAATGGTTACACAAGCCAAACATCGTTATGACATCACAAAGTGGCCAAATTCTGATCAGCTCATTTTCAGACAGGTTTTTATAGAAATGGATCAGGATGAAAAGAGAGGGGATCTTTTTCCCTGAAACTTTCTGAGTCTCTTTACACAGAGGGGACACATGTTGATGTAGAAGAGACATGAAAAAGTGGATTTTGCATAATAGGTGACCTTTAAAATACTTAATTGCTTATGTTGTTTTTTGTATAATCCGTAACATTGAGTAAGATTTAGATTTAGTTAGATTTAGTTGAGTATCCACTGGTCTGTTACACACAGATGAATGTCCGCCTGGTACAAACTCTCCGGAAAAGAGTTTTCATTGTGTGCTGCGGCTCATCACATGCCTGGGATCAGGGGGTCTGAGCAGGGTCAGCGCGGGAGCAGCGAGCTGCTGGAGGGGTCATGGAAAGTATGAAAGACTTTCACCAAGTGTCCTTCTTAAAGACTTTACCGTCACAATCCCACGTTCCTCTCTGTGCAGCATTATGGGCATTATAGCGGCGAGTGTTATATCACTTTAGATGTTTGGGTTAATGCGCTCCATGGCCGTAGCGTAGACCAGTTCTGCTTAGCTGAGTTGCAGTAAAGTGATTAAAAACAGAGATAAATATACGAGAGAGAATTATAGAAACGTCTAAACAAGCAAACATTTTCTTTAATAATACATTTAATTTATATAGCGCTTCTCATCTGCCAAGACAAATCTCGAAGTGCTTTATTCCAACTGTGACTTGGATCATGGTGGGTCGGGGCTTAGCTGATTTATTTTATAGATGCATATGGATCCTCGGTGGATCTGTACGCTGGGTCTTGATCTGGCTTAACCTTTCTACCTCTAGCCCAGTTTGCCTGCCGCTCTCTTTGCAGCTGTCTGGATTCACAACGCAGGCCTGTGATTGGCTGACCTCTGCCCGACTGGCTGGTGTTTTCAGAGATGTCAGCCTGATCATCTCTCCCTGACCTTGAGTTTACCCCACCCTGCATGCATTTAACCCCACCCTCTAATTTATATCCCCTACCTTGTGTTTGGGCCCTTGATCCGGCGCGATGACGTCCCACCTCGCTCTGATTTTGTCCTATTTTTGCTTCCGTAATTCAATGTATTTCCAGTTTAAACCAATCAGATTATATGAAAGAAGTGTATTAAATAGTATGTTTGGAAATGTGATATTCCCAACAAATCCACTTTTTACTTCAGTACCTATTGGAATAAAGGAACACCTGAACCTTATTTAAAGTTACCATATCTTTGTGACGCATTTGTCGATAAATGTTCTAAGTTATAATGAATTAAACTTTTTCCCAGACGGGACAGGGTAGTGTGGTTGCTGTTTCCATGGGGTTGGTTCTTAAATGGAAGCAGTATACAGTAAATAACATTTAAATAGAAAAAAAGACTGTAAAACATTGCAGAAAAAGTGCTTGACCTTAAAACGCAATCACAATATGAGGGTACAACCATGCGTCCACTAGTTTTGGTTTTGCCACCCTCACTTCAGTCCTTGATCCCCCCCAATGTCCCGGCCTGGCCCTCGTGGGCCAGAGTGCAGCAGGGCGGGGTGAAGAGGGCGAGGCCGGGGGCAAATGCAGGTCGCCATATCCAGATCTCCCTCTGTAATCTCTGCCCCGGCTCTGAACCCTGGATCCCATTAAAAATGATTTACATCCAATAGTGTAGATGTATCAAAGGCAGCTTTGCTTTCTTCCCTTCTCATCATTTTCTCCCTCTAATGAAATCCCCCGGTAAAACACAAGCGAGCTTCCTTTTTTTTTTCTCCCCCACCAATGGATGGGAGTATAGTGTCATGTGAAGATTAAGCCCCGCCCACAACATGGGAGAGGTTGGGAGTTTCATCTGAAATGAAAGCTTTTAAAAGGCTGTGGGTGCTCGGCAGGCGGTGACGCATGAGTAAAATGCACAGAGAGATTTCAGAGAGGCAGTGTGTGAGCTAACGAGGAAGAAATAGAAGCAGCTTCACGGAGATCATTTGTGCCGATAATCTCTCCCTTCCTCCATCTCCCCTCTTATCTCCATCTCCACTATCCCTCCCTCCCTCCCAGCCTCATCTGGTCTTTACAGTAAGACCTGCTGGCGTCAGTATTCCTCCCTGAGCTCTCCGATCCCATTATTTGCATCGTGGTCAGTGGCAGTACGAGGATCTCGCTCCCCTATAACTGCCTGCCGAGCTTTTAGAGTGCAGTGATACTATAGTTACCACCAGCCGGCCTGATTACCTGAATACCACACTATCAACAACTACTAAATCTTGTGTCAACCAATCAGGAGACTCTTCGTAACATTGTTGTTTGTAGACGTGGCGCTGACTGCACAAAGGTGCTTTGATAACCAGGTATCGGGGATCACTTGAATTCTACGAAGATCGTGAAGAGGCTGATGGAAAGTCTGGTGTGTGCGTAACGACTTTACATGTTGTGTTGGGTGAACTTAGGTAGAGGGCAGGGGAGGACGGTTGCAAAATAAAGGAGGAATAAACATGGTTGTTGTGTCTGGTAACACAGATCTGTATTAAAACAAGCATCAGTTTTTGTTGCTTCATGACAAACATCTTTCTTAGCATATTTTAGCCATTTTATCAGAAGTTATTGAACCAGCCAGAAGGACCAGAATCCAAAAGATAATTGTTTTAGTCCCACAAATGTACCGATAACCACTCCTCAATGTGACCTTTTGTTGCTTTTTTCTGTTGTATATCAATCTAAATTGAGTGTTAATGAAGTACACAAGACATTATGATGGGCCTTGTTTCAATATTTCTTTACTTCACTATTCTTTTATTTGATAGTGAAAACAATGAAAATCAATGGTGTAAGAACTTTTGTATATAAAGCACTCCACAGACCGACCTATAAAAAATCATCTTCAAAATACAATTCTTTATACATTTTTAAAGAATAACCAGGAAAATGTAAATTGTTTCCGCATGGATCCCTCGAATTTCTTTCAATTTACAGACTTTTTCTGAGTTTTTAACGCTTTTCTCCCCTTTTTATCATCTAATTTGAACTGTGTCATCACAAGACACTACAAATATTTCATCCTTCCCTTATGACAACACGATGATAATAGCCCAACAAAAAATCACCCACCTCTCTGCATGCCGCACTGAAAACACACTAAAACTCGGTCAGGATGGCATACATTTTTGATGTGTGCGATTCCTCTCGCTGGTGCTCTCCGTGCAGCGATCTGCCGTGACCCCGCGTTGCCTTCCGATCAACATCCCACCGAGCCCCGAATGTTTCCACACGCTATATATTAAAGCCACGCTGCACCCCATCAATTAAACACGGCGAACAAGGACAGGCAGAGTTCACCGAGCTTTCCTCAACCTGCATGCCGGTGGTGTGATGTGGGGAAGTTACCTGCCGTGAGAGAGGAGGATGGAGCAGATTATGACTGTTTTTTAAATTAAAATATTCCCTTTTATTACCTTCTTGAGCCAGAAATGTTTCATGTTGCAAATGCTCTCCATTTCCTACACTGAAAGAACTGAAACGTTGACTTTAATTAAATGTATTATGTCTGTCCTGTAGTAGTTGAAAGCATTAATATTAAGTTGAACCTACTTGTACTTAATAATATTGCTTTCAACTAACCTAAATACAGTTATGTGAAATCTGTGGACATTTAATTAAAGTCAACGTTTTCACTGTATGGCTATATTTAGACTCTAGCACATACCTCTATTCTACTTTCAGTAGTCTCCATATATGCTGCATAGCTTCGATATCACTGCCCCTCCCCCATATGTACATTAGGGCCTTGAAGTGAGAGAGCAGGTAAAGTGCTACCATGATCAAATGTGCAGAGAAAAACAACTGATTTGATCCAATGGGCTGTGCCGGGGGATTACAGCATCTCTGCTTGTTCAATATGCGTGTTCGACTGGTTTACTGCTAAGCTGCTGCGTGCTATCACCGTTAGCATGCTACAGCATAGATGTGCATGAAGCAGGCGGAGGTCACAGAGAAGTCGTGTTTCCAGCCTGCGTCACAACTTGTGGTCATGTAAAGAGGGTAATGTCAGGGTGCGTTAGTGTAAAGACATCAGTGATTTGAGTTATGAAACACTTTCAGCAAGTGGAAGCTGTAACTTTGAGCAGTTTGGTGTCAGAACTATTGTAGATATGTTCAAACACACCGACGTATTGCTTTCTAAATCTTATTCTTAATAATTTATTTATAATAACTGGGCAAAATTGAATATTTCCTGAATGGAAAAACACAAACTGAACTAAATGTCTTTGTATGGAGAAGTTTTCTCTCAATGTAAAGATTTTCTGAGTTTTTTTTTAACGCTTTTTCCCCTTGTTGTCATGTAATTTGAATTCTGTATCATAACAAGACACCACACATATTGAATTCTTCCCATATGACAACAAGGTGATAATAGCCCGACAAGGTATTACTGCCCTCTCTTCATGCCACGCGGAAACCCAGTGAGACTCAGGATATAGTTTTCTGTTTTGTTTGGCTTTCCAGCCCTTGTTCCTGTATTCTCTCTTCTATTTATCGATTTTACTGACTTTTCCACTGACAAAGTGTGCGTTTGCGACAAAAAAATACTGACGTGAATCTCTCCTCTCCACCGCTTGTTGCAGGTCAAGGTCTGGTTCCAAAACCGCCGGACCAAACAGAAGAAGGACACCACGAAGGACTCGGACAAACGCTCCTCCTCCTCCAACGAGTCCTTGGCCACCTGTAACATCCTGCGGCTCCTGGAGCAGGGCCGCCTCCTCTCGGGCCCCATCCCGCCGCACAACTCCCTCCTGGGGCCCCACCCCTCCAACGGCTCCCTGCTGAGCAGCCCGGGTGGATCCTCCACCTCTCAGGGGATGGGCACTCCGCCCTCCTCCCTCGCAGGGGGGACTTTCGGGCTGTCGCTGCCCTCGCTGGGCGGCACCCCCCCCTCACCCCGCCTGGGCGTCCCCTCCCATCACTCCCTCTGCTTCTCCATGCCGCTGCTGGGGGGCGCCCACCACGAACTGACATCCGTCTACGGGTGCGGTTCTTCAGCTTTTGAGCCGTACATGCGGCTGGACAGGAAGGAGGCGGATCATGGCGGGAAGAAGACGGTTTCTTAAGTCCTGCGACACCTGGGGACTCGTCTCTGAAAGAGCGTTCCTCCTCAGACCTCCACCCCTCAAATCTGTTTTAACTCTTGACTTTCAGCAGATTTGGGGGGAAAGAAAACAACCTGGATCATGTGATCTATGCGGCACCATTTTGTGCCACTGTTGACACAAAATGGTGAAAAGATGGCGGGAAGGACGTGATGTGACGGAGACTCTCCTACATAAAAAAAAAAACTTGTGAATTTTTGCAGGAAATGCCGTGTGTGTGTTGCGTGAACCCTGACAGGCAGATGTTTTATCACCGCTCTCTTCGCAGTGGTTTCAGTGACTTCACTTTTTGTCCAGTGAGTTTGTGTGTGTGGTTTTCTCTCTCTATACAGGCCTTAATTTTACTGTTCAGGAAAAAAAAAAAATACTTGACATGGTAGTTCAGACTGAATCAGTGTCTGAATAAGAAGAGTGATAATTCAATGAGAGCAGTTTGTACACATTTCAGTACATATTCCCGTACAAGTGGCCATGTTTGATTTGAGTTAATGTGCTATCACAATATGGAAGAAACACTGAAAAAAAAAAAAGAATCGTAGCATTTAAATATCAGTCTCTTTGGTGTCCAGCAGTAGTTTTATGTAAATTCTTTATTTGGTTGTGTTTGTGTATGAAATAATGTGGTAGGATCTGGACAAATGGTGCAAAACTCACATATCTAGATCCCATAGTTTTAATATAAAAGAACATTAAGAAGGATAAGTGTGTGAGGAAGCTGGTGAGACTCTGCCAAAGCATTTATGGACCAAGCTTTGGAGGTGTGTGTCCTCCAACCACTGAAGCAAGTCAAGGTCAAACTGAGATGACCTTTGAGCCCAAATGTACAGTTTTTGATTGATTTTGACCGTTAAATCAGACTCAAATCTAGGTTTTTATAACATCTGTCCCACTTTTTGAACAATTATTGTATTTACAGAACCAAACGTGTGTAGGCCGGAAACTTCTTCGATTTTAATCATCAATTTTGTTCATATTTCAAGCTAAATCCACGCATTGTCTAGTTCCAGCTACAAAAAAATACAATTATCTTTATATTCTTTCTCATATATGACAATTAACCACAACAGCCTCTGAGAATCTTTTTTTTAAATCTCACATTTTCACATTTTATTTTATTTAAGTTGCCCATATTCTGGTTTGCAACATCACACCTATCAGAAGTACTCTCTCATCAGGTCATATCCATAATCACACGAAATATATTTGTACACAGGAAACTATAACGGTCTGCTTACATTGCAGCATCTTAAATATTTTCAATAATATATTTTATTTTTCTTTATTTGTGTTTGCGCCATGTTTCCCCCGCTTTAGACTGTTGGCCCTCCTGCTTGCCCCCCCCCCATTGAAAGCACTTTATGTTTGTAGGTTTTTATACATCCTCATGTATGTGCCCCCCATTTTCTCCTTATTGAAAAATCCCAGCTTTAGTGAGACTCGACACTTGATGATCCTCCCGAACCTAAATTGACTCCAGGATCAGAAAACAGCCCACTCTGAGACACCCTACATACATCAGCTGTGTTTTTCCCATATGATTCCATGTTTCCTTGTTGTCCAAAGAAAATCAAATCTCGCCTGCAATTCCCCACAGTTTGCCCTCAATCTGTTTGTGTCAGATGAGTTCTCGCCCCTTTTCACAACTTCTGTCAGCTGCTTCTCCTTTCCATCTCTTACTACCCATTCATGTCTTCTCATTGTGAGGTTTAATATGTGCTCGCTGTAGGTGGCTCGACACCTATTTAAAGAAAAAGCGACCACTATTGTGACATCAATTTAAAAAGCTGCTCACGAGTAAAAGCCAGGCTGCGTCTAAAGCGTGTTTCCAGCTGCAGATAAATGCATGGGAAGGTTTTGACCTCAGCTTATGAAAGAAAACCTCTGTCTGGCGGCCTTTTTGCACCCGGGATAGCAGGTGATTTGTTATTGTTGTGTTCAGGCCCCAGCAGTACTGCGAAAACCCCTGTTATCCACTCCCGGGCTCTTTGCGGCGGTGCACTTGTGCTGTATTATTTTCTATAAGCACTATCCATAATTCACACACGGTGGCATGAAATATTCAGCAGAGCGATGGAGCTGAGAGGTCAGGAGGCTGCTTTCTCATGTAAGGCTGCTGTATCCTTTCACAAACCTTCCCTTTTCTCCCTTTCACTCACCAGAGGGCGTTTTGCGTCAAGCTTTCCTGTAAGCAAAACAGTCACGTTTTTTTACTGGAATATTTATTTTCGTGTTGCATGATTTAGAGCTGTACTAGGAAAAGAGGGGCTCTGCAACAAACTCTTCTTAATGATCCCATTCTCTGTTATTTGTGACAGTAGAGGAGTTTGTGGTTACAGAAGACATTTCCATCCATTCAGAATCAGCACTGACTCATGTTCTGTCACTGTACGGTGGTGTTTTGTAATGTAAATCTGCAGTTGCTGTATTGTACGCTCATTCACGACGAGGAGCGGCCATAGGAGAGGGATGTCAGAGCTCTGCCGCTTAAACAAAGCCTTTTTTGTTTTGTTTGTCCTCAATCCAGCTGAGTGGAAGTGTTGCTTTTGACATCTTGCACTTGTTTACCACCATCTCAGAGGCATTTTGGGCCTTCTCACTACTGCATCGTGGGTTTTTCTGTTGGGTAAAGTCCTTTTGAGATTGTGTGGAGATGTTCCTTTTATTTTATTTTCCCTTTATGCACAGCCAAGGTCCTGCATAGGCCTTAACTTCCTTTCTTTTAAGCAGTAAAAGTGACTTAATGTCAAGCTAATGGCACCATCTACTACTTATGATGAACAAACTCTATGTACATAGATATAAATTTATATATGAATATATATAAATGGGTCTTTGCACAAGTTATCTCCATGTCCGCTCCATGTGACTTTAACAGGAAAAAACAAAATGCGACGGAAGATTCATTAAAAAAAAAAAGTCTTTATATATGCTTTACAATTCTTTGTCTCATTAACATTTTGCACTTATTTAAAGAGGCTTACTTCTGTTTCTGGGCTGACAGAGCTGTTTTCATGCTCGGCCAAGATATTGTACAATATGTATATGTATTTTTATTCATATGCATATAAATATATGTCTATGTAATTTGCCTCCTGTGTTCTGTGTTCTTCACTTTCTGCTTCAAAGCCACGAAAACTAGCATCTAAAATGTGTGTTTGTAACATGTTCTGTACTGAATAATCAATCATACTTCTTTTAAAGGGTTATTCAGTGAAAATATGAGTTTCTGTTTGAAATCAGTCAACACATCTGACTCACATCTGCTTGCGCTCTTTCTATTCACTGAGGATTTTGGGAGGGCCTTAGCTCACAGACATATTTATCAAAAACCTTGGCTTATTGGTCCTTTCCATTAGTGTGGCAGAAACATCAAGGTAGTGGACATTTCACCTTTTTCAGGTCTCTTTGTGGAGGCCTTTGAAGACTTTTAATTCTCTTCTGGTTTGGATGGTGGCACAAAGACGTGAATTGATGCGCCCTTGGGTTATTAATTGGATGAAAATACACAAAAAGTGGAATGATGTGGGCGATTCTGCTCAATGTTAGAGGTAAATACATCTCGTATTTTCATGACAATAACAAATACTTTTGAAGAATGAAAAGTAATTGGAAGAACTTCGACACAGGGCTGCTGGTCAAATAACACGTTTAATTGAGTCCATGTAAAGTCATCGAAGATCTGCAGGCCCATGAAAAGCCATTTTGTGGTCCATGTAATTCTATCTTTTGACCACTTTAAATTTACAATTTCATCAGTATTGGATTGCCAGATTCAAGTAGTATGCCATTTCCCCAAATATGAACAAAACATAAACGTCAGGTTGTAATTTGATGCCTAATTAGACTATTCACTTTTGTTAACTGCAAAATTAAATTAAATTTTCACGCAAGAAAACAACATTTAAATATTTAATTTATTTTGTATCTGTGACAGTTTTTCACTTTTGATCAAATAAATACAGTAAGTAATCTGTATATAGCTGTTATTTAAACATACATAAATCCACATTCCTTATATTAAATCTAAAGATACTATTCCCCTTTACACATTAAAAGCTCTACTTTGCAGTCTCAGATTAGAACAATATTAAAATCAATAAATAAATATGATGTTTTTATCCGTTAAGATCAATCTTTATTGATTGATTGGAACATGTATTATGTGATTGATGCATCACAGGTTATAATCCAGTAGGCCGAAAATAGGCCTTTCTGCATCATGTGTAATTTAACTTTTTTGTATACTTTGACCGTTCTACTTGTAGTGTACTAAAGGGAAGTTTTGATTGCAGAGCTTTTACTTTATTTACCTACAGGTATTGCTACTGTATAAGTGAAATACCTGAGTATTTCTTCCACCTCTTTAAAATACTGAACACTTTGAGTCTCCATAGGTTGTCACATGGACCGCTCTAAGTGTTTGTTGAAAAGACAACAGCTAACTGATTTAAAAACCCTAAGTGTCAGCTAATTCCCTCTTTAATAATGTCCTACCCAAACTCTCCGAACGACGTGTCAAATGCAGGATAAACAAAAGACAGAAGGACTAAGCTGTAAAGGTAACACACTACTCTCAGCGTATCCCCCAGACTTCAGCGAGGGGCATTTCTCCGAGGCTGGGACAATTGATCTGCAGGGTGCCAATTATAGTGATTGGCACCTTTTATTTGAGTGAGGAAAAGGCGAGAGGGTTCTGCAGAAAGGAGACCAGATGGGTGGCCTGTTGTAGAGGAGGGGAGGAGGGGAAGGAGGAGGAGGGGAGGAGAGGAGGGAGGAGATGAGGAGAGGAAGGAGATGAGGAGAGGAAGGAGAGGAAGGAGCTGTGGCGGTAAACAGCATCCATTGCTGCAACTCAATTAATACGTTTTTTTATGGAGGTTTTAATTTGTCATAGCTGCCGTAATAAGCAATACAATTAGGAACCTGATTTCACGTTGTGTTTGCAGCTAAGGGAGGAAAATATATCTTAATTGTCATGGTAAAAACGAAATAATGTCAAAAGTAATATATTCTTTTTAAATATATGTAGCAGAATCTGTGATGAAGTATTTGATATCTAATTATTATTCTAGGCGAAGGCATTTAAAAAAAATGGGCATTTAATTCGGTAATTTAATGAAAATATATACATTATTTCTGCATTTCCAATGATTATTTGGACTATTTATTTTGTTTGGCTGAAAATGCAAACATCTTAAATTGACTTACAGGCAGCCGGAACGGATTAATAATCTCTCTAAATAATAATAAATATATCTTAATCATCAACGAACAATAATGTAGTTGTTAAGAGGACATCACTACTGCCTCAACTCTAATAACTGTTTGTTTGTAATTACTTTTTTGCCTATTTCCTTTTTTTGTTTTTGTTTATTGAATCAAATGTAATAGAATAAACCAACCAAACAATTCAGTTTAAGCTTAAAAAACAATCACTTTTCAGTAGGTCTAATGACAGAACTATATCAGTGTAAATTTGAATCCATATTTAATTGTACATAACTTGCATTGATTGCATCAGTTTGGTAGAAAACAGCAGGAATGTTTGTTTATATTTCGATAACACCATAATTTCTATCATTCCTGCAACAAATAATGCACTTTTTTTTTAAAATAATGCCATATCTCCAAATCAAGTGCAGTGGATATGATGGATGAGGTTAATAAATCCATGTCATTTTAAATTATGCATTTTGATGTAAAAACACAATAAATGCTTTTTTTCGGGCAGTTAGCATCTAATAAGGGGTGGCAGAAACACTTTGTTTTGAGTTCATTTAGCATTCATCACAAAAGTATATAATCTTGTGTTTATTAATGTAATTGTGAGAATAACATATATAGTCAAATAAGTCTGTTTTAAACGAAATTAATAATTGTTGACAAATATTGTACATTAATAGACACTTAAAAAAGTCCTTAGCTGCAGACATCGACATTGCATTATGTTATTCATTTAGTGTTTATACTCAGTTTCAATAACTATAGGTACAAACACAATTAACATAGGATACAGGATAAGAATTTAGCACTTATTATTTCGTAAATATATTTACCAAAATAAACAAATATAATTTACTCAATTATGATTTTTTTTATTTTTACAAATCTAGGTAAGAATGAAAAAGATGCTTTGAATGCGTCGCGGCTGCTTCCTCCGGTCTCATGTTGAAACTCCGGATCACTTTCACATCAGCACTCAGTCGCTGTTTGTTGTGCTTCGACAAATGAACTCTCAGCTCTGTGTTTTTTCTTTTAATAACCACCGTATGTGTTTGTGTGTGATTCTGGAGGGTCCACAGACCTTTAGGAATGCACCACTTTCCTCCCGTCCTCCCCCCTCTCCTCCTCCTCCTCCTCCTCCTCCTCCTCCTCCTCCTCCTCCTCCTCCTCCTCCTCCTCCTCCTCCTCCTATAAAGCAGCTCAGCGGCCCATCAGGGGGGCCCCTTCACTAATTAGGGTCACTAATTGGGGGTTGGCCGGGGCCGAGACCCCTCCACACCTGCACGGTCATGTGACATTCAAAGAGGTGCGTAGGGTCAGGGGTCGCGTAGTTGGGGGGGGAGAGGAGAGGGAGGGTTTGGATTAGTTTGAGGGAGAGGAGAGCGGTTATCAGGAGGAAAATGAAAAGCCGAAATGATGGACTAAAAGCTGGCTTTGTTATATTGAGCCACCTCAGTGAGCGTTCATTTTACAGTGTGTGTTTTTGCCGTAATAAAAACTCCCAAAAGTCTTTAGAAAACGTTAAAAAAAAGCTGCAAAATGAAAGTGTTTTGTGCCCTAACTTTTTTAAGAAGTGTCCAAAAAGAGTGTATATGTAAGGAAAGTGTGAGACAACACGTAAGGAAATGGAGGCGGGACATGCTGCCCGGTCAGAGGTTAATTGCCAGGTGACCTTAAGGGCCGGACAGCTCAGCGGAGACCCCCGGCCCGCCTGCCTCTCTCAGTTCTCGTGGACTAAGTGATGTCTGCGTGTTTTGACACGATTCACACAAGAGTCGGGCTTAAGCTCGCCGAAAAAGATTCACAGCTGCATTCCTGTGAGAACCAAACCGACACGAGAGACTTGGAGGAAACGACTGGTTTTAGAAAATGTTTTTTTAAACTATGCAAAGTAATGATGTGAGACGATGAAAGAGGCAGAAAGGCGTGCATTAAAATCTAATACATTTCTATTATTAAACAACCCTAACCTTTCTCAACACCAAGCTCCCGGACTTTAAACAAATTATAAAAATACATTTAAAGAACAACCAACAGAACATTTGGACAGGTTCAACTCCAACATGTATGACATCTGAATAGCATTTAGCTGCATCAGTTTCAGGCTTATGGTTTTGTTTATGCTTTGTATACGTTTATACAGCTTTAACACTCTCTGCGGATACAGATTTAATAATTGCATCAAAGTCAAGATCATCATCAGGTTAGGATTTTAAACAATACACCATTTTATTAGAAAATTATGCTTTCATAGTGCTAAGTATTCTTTGCACTTAAGATTTGTTGTGCAACACGAAAACGTTTTTTTAAAGCATATTTTCAGTCCCATCTGCACACTCAAGGCCTAACACGGGTCCAACATGTGGACAAACAGGCATTTAAATTCTGTGACCTATCATTGTTGTGTTATGTGACACACACACACACACACACACACACACACACACACACACACACACACACACACACACACACACACACACACACACACACACACACACACACACACACACACACACACACACACACACACACACACACACACACACACACACACACCATTACAATGTCCCACTTTCAATTTCTCAACCTTTCATGAATGCCTCTGCATACAAAGAGTAGGAATTTCTTCAAATTGTATTTTAACCTTCCGCACAATAAACCTGAGCATTGGTGAAACAGCAGGCGAGGTCTCCTGTTTTCATTCGTGACTATGGCTCTACCACCTAATGGCCTTTACAATTTACACTTTTCTGTTGTATTCAAGGACACTTTTCCCCCTCCTGTCCTATTTTGTCTGTGCACCCAAAGGCAACACGTTTGCATCACCTTTTCACCTCACCATTCATGACAGTTAGACG